TGGTCATAATGTTATGGCTGATCTGTGTAGTGTTGCACTAGAATTTTGTTTGCCCATCCCCGGCCCACTGGACCCTTCCCCTCCGGGGTCACAGATTGCCATTTCCTGTTCGTTTCCATCTGATTATATTTCACATTTTATTTCCTCTTCTAATTCGGGTGTTTTGTTCCGATGAGATTATTTCATTCCAGTAACTCCATTTCTTTGTCAGCCACTGAACAATGGGAAAGACTCGCACCCGTTATACAAGGTATTTAGCTCGGCAGCAAAAAGAAAAAAAACAAGTTGCAAACGGTTCGATTATTTTACATGAACGTAAGCGGTCAACACGCCTTGCAGTGCTGGAGTCCTGGGGTATGATTCCCACCAAAGATGCTAGCTGCTGGCGTGCAAATGTTTTCCCCCATGTTTTTGTGATTTACCTCCCACAATCCACCTGGTAGCTTAAAGGAGAACTATGAGGTGAGTGAAAATCACTCAGCCTCATAGTTCGAGCCGACGTGTGACAATGAAACTGTCACACGTCAGCTCACTAGATCGGGAAGCGAGCGAACACATACCGTCGCTCGCTCACTCCTCCATCCTGTGACTACCCGCCCCTAGGCTATTGCTTCACATTTGTCATGTTCTTTAGAAGGGCTGGTCATCCAACTTTTGGGTTGTTGCATTGTCTAGGCTTATGTGGTCAGCCTGAACTTTATGGTTAGGCTTACGTGTCCTTAAAGGAGAACTATGAGGCGAGTGAAAATCACAATGAAACTGTCACACGTCGGCTCAGTAGATCGGGAAGTGAGCGAACACATACCGTCGCTCGCTCACTTCTCGATCATGTCCCTGGAGATAGCCGTGACTGTCACTCATGGCTCCCTGCAGGGATTCCCCCCCTCCCCGCTCCGATCCTCTGCTCCGATCCTCCAGCGCTGACTGGCGGAACGGACGGGGGAGGGGGTACAGCTGGCTCGGCCTCTAGATAGGCAGAGCGCGCTGTCAATCACGCAGCTGGGTGGATCTCTACAGTAATGTCGGGATTTGTCCCGGCTGCGGCGGTCTCAGTATACCGCGTGCTGTAGCTCGTGATATACTGAGCTTAGGGTGACGGGAGGATGCTAGTTTGTGTCCTCCTATGACCCTTAGGAGAACTATGGGGAAAAACACTTACCCCATAGTTCTCTTTTAAAGTGACATAAAAGCCAATTCCCCGCCACCCCCTAATGCTAGTGTAAGGACTTACCTTAAAAGATGCCTCTTGATCCGATCTTTCCTGTAGTTTTCAGGAGTTCCTCCAGCGCTGTTGCCGATCTCCAGTCCAGCGCTGACTTCTCTCTCTTCCTAGCACTTCCTATCCCACTGTGTCTGCATGCGTGTGCACGCTGCTGCCATGACTTACCTTATGTCTCTCCTCTTCCTGAAGATCTGAACTGCGCATGCGCCCGCCCCATGATCATTTGCGGCCGCAATAGAATCTTCAGATCTTTGGATGGGAGCGCGCGGTGGAGACACAGGTACGTTTATATTCCTTTGTTAACTTTAAAAAAATTTTTTTTGCATATATCTACTGCTCGCTAAGGTTTCCTTAAATAATCAGTCTCTCTCTCTCACTCCCCCCCTCTCTCCTTCCCTCTATATCTATCTCTCCCTCCCCCCTCTCTCCTTCCCTCTATATCTATCTCTCCCTCTCTCCCTCCCCCCTCTCTCCTTCCCTCTATAT